CTGTGCTCTAACCAGCTGAGCTAACCGGCCGCCCCAGCATCCTTCCTTTTTAAAGCTGAGTAATATTCCAGTGTGTGGATGGACCACACTGTTCCTCCATCATCTGTTGGTGGAAATTTGGGGGGCTTCTGCCTTTTGCATATTGTGAGCAATACTTCTATAAACATTTGTGTCCAAGTATCCAAGTCCATTTTCAATTCTTTTGGATATACACCGAGGAGTGATATCAGCAGATTGGAGGGTAATCATGTTTAACTTTTCAAGTAGCCACCAAACTGTTTTCCACAGTGGCTGCACCGTTTTCCATTCCCACCTACCCAGACCTGGTTTTCATGTTATTTTTCTTTCTTTCTTTGAGGGATGACATACACACAAAAGGATACAAGGACACAAATATCAAGTGACTAGCTTAACAAATCATACCTCTATCTCTGTCTCTCTTACTCCAAGTAACTACCACCCAGACCACAATGTAGAACATATCCAGCCCACCCCCCAAACTCCCATATGCCCCTTCCCAGTCAACACCCCCCAGAGACAACCTCTGACTTTAACACCATTTATTAGTTTTTCCTGGCTTTGAACTTTGTGAAAATAGAGTAATAAAGTCAGTCCTCTTTTGTTGTGTTTGAGGCCTTCACCTAACCACTGTGGCTGTGAGATTCACCCAAGATGGTGCATGTCACAAGTTCCCTCGTTTTCCGTGCTGTGTGGTGTCCCTTTGGTTGATTGCACCACAATTTATTCACCCATTCTCCTCTGGAAGGACATTTAAATAGTTTCCAGTTGCCATCTATTGTGAATAAAGCCGCTGCAAACATTCTAGTGCCATATCTTTCAGTGCAGACGTAGGCACTTATTTCTCCTGGGCATACCCCAACATGGGGAACTGCTGAGACACAGAGTATGTATAGTTAGCTTTCCTGGGTCCTGCCAAACAGTTGTCCAACACGGTTGCTCCAATTTGCATTCCCACCAGCAACGCATGGGAATTCCAATGGCTCTCCAGCCTGACCAACACTCCATATTGTCAGTCTCTTTAATTTTGGCTCTTTTTGGGAAGGGAATGTCCACCATGCTTGAAAACAGTGGTCAGGTGATCAAGGTTAACATCATCAGTCCTAAGTCCTGTTGATGGCATGACATGATGAGAATGGCATTTTATCCCTATTTGGGTCTTCCTCCCCAAACCCAGTAGCCCCAGCTAGCCATAAGAAAAATACCATAAAAAAGCAAAAAAAAAACCCACACAAATTGAGGGACAAAATACCTGACCAGTCCTCCTCCAAACTTTTTTTTTATAATTAAAGTTTATTGGGGGTGACAAATGTTAGCAAAGTTACATAGATTTCTGGTGTACAATTCTGTAATAAATCATCTATATATCACATTGTGTGTCCACCACCCAAAGTCATTTCTCTTTCCATCACCATATATTTGACTCCTCCAAACTTTTAAGGTATCAAAACCCAGGATAGTCTGAAAACCTATCACAGCTCAGAGGACACTGGGACAGAAAAGGATATTAGGAATAAACTAACGAAATTCAAATAAAATCTGGACTTTTGTTAATAATGTGTCAAGGTTGGTTCCTTAGTTGCAAGGAGCGTATTATACTAATGTGACATGTTACAAATAAGAGGAACTGGGTACAGGGTCTACAGGCATAGGAACACACTGTCCAATCTTTGCTACTTTTTGGTAAAGCGTATTTAACGAAGATAATAGTGTATTTCCTTGATTTGAACATGCCTGGGTTTCTTTTCATCTTATACACAAAAACATAGGCTTGTTGCCAGCCCCTGGGAAGGTGTGGGTTGTGAGCAAGGGGTTTGCTCTAGAGCTGGAGAACAAGACCCTGGGGGGGAAGTGTGAAGCCTGTGGAAATATTTAGAACTCTAGGAAGGATGAGCCAGGTCACTTAAGGACTGACTCCGACGCATTTGGTGCCCTGACCTTTCTCTTGGATGTGACCATCTCTAGAGTCCAACAGCCAGCATCTGCATCTTATGCTTGAGGACACAAGTACTTGGCACTTCATACCTACACCTAACTCCACCCTAACTGATAGGACTTGGTGTAGAAGTATGCGAGTCCTTCACCCCTGGGGGCGGGGGGGCTAATTTCAAGGTGCGTGTCTGCACTGTCATCCAGTCCCTCTGATGGTAAAGCTCCAATTGCCCCCTGTGGCAGCTGGCATGAGAACCACCCTTTTTTGCTGCCTTCTCTTACCTGTCTCACCACCCACCATGCCGTGCTGCTGTCTGCACCTCTCAACTCAACTTGTATTCAAGTCCTCATTCTCAACGTCTCCAGGGAATTCAACAGGGACCATGACAGTGACAAGAGGAAATCTCTGGAAGGAGGTGCACAGGGTGGGTGATAGAGGCCATGACAGCTGAGGTCCAGTCCCACCGCTCCAGCTCTGAGCAGTGAGTGGGATGGGCATTGCATTTGTCATTTCATCCCAAAAGCTTGTCTCAGCCCTGCCTGGCTGCCCCACTCTGGGTCACCTCAGGATGCAGAGGTGACCGGGATAGAGTCCTTGCCCTCACAGGATTCTGCGGGAACAAACCGGTCAGAATAATGTTAGAGCAGGGTCTCCCCTGCTGTTACTGGGGCTAAGTTGTTTTCTATGGAAGGGCTGTCCTGGGTGTTGTGGGGTGCTGAGCAGCATCCCTGACTCCCACCCACTGGATGCCACGAGCACCTCCGGTCTTGACAACTACAGATGTCCCCAGATAAGGCCTGGTGTCCCCTGGGAGCAGGATCGCCAAGGTGAGAACAACTGTGTTGAAGCTGCCAGCAGGCTCCAGTCAGTCCTTTTTGCATTAGTGCTCTGTGTTGAAAATTGCCCCTCTCTCATCCCTCCCCCAGCTTTAAAGATACCTGTGACATCATCCCCGTATGATGAGTCACATCTTATCAGTTAATTGTTTGATGCCCTCTCTAGAATGGAAGCTCTTGGCTGTTAATGTCCCCAGAACCTGGAAGAGGTACTGCTATATACTGTATTAGGTTGGTGTAAAAGTAGTTGTCTTTTTTTTGCATTGTTGAAATTTGCCTTTGATATTGGAGTATATTGTGTTTTTTTAAAAAAAAAGATTTTATTGGGGAATTGGGGAAGGGAACAGTGTTGGGGAACCAGGGAAGGGGAACAGACAAGTCACTGTCCTTTTGTTCTTCAGTCTAGTTGTGGAAGATGTCACTTCACTGGCCCATGTTGGTATTGTGATCATTGCACTCTTCCTGGGTGAGGCAGTCGCTCGCTGGGCATTGGACGGCTGCTCACGGCGGCTCACGGCAGCTCATACATTAGTGTGTATTATGCAGTATATGTACACACATACATACAGATATACAGGTGTGTGTATTTGGTATATATACACATATGTGCACATACTCTTACATGCATACATATATGGTTTTAGGGTAAGGCAGCGGTTCTCAACCTGTGGGTCTCGACCCCTTTGTGGGTCGAACGACCCTTTCACAGGGGTTGCCTAAGACCAACGGAAAACAAAAAGATATTTACATTACGATTCATAACAGTAGCAAAATTACAGTTATAGAGTAGCAACGAAAATAATTTTATGGTTGGGGGTCACCAC